GTGGGCTACCCTTCAGTGCTACCCGGCAGGCCATGGTCATGGTAAGGTCTCACTCGTCCACTACGAGGTTAGCAACGCCCGCCACCGCCTCACTACCATCAAGGCAGAGAGGCAGATGGGGGAGGGCAGCATCCCCCTCCGTCCAGCTGCTTGGCCCCTGGCAGGCAGCCCCACCAGCTCCCAAGGAGCAGGAGGCAGCACATCGGCACCACGCAGCACGTTGCAGCAGATGGAGACTCAATGGGAGCAGGAACGACCCCACAGTGGCTCGTCCCGCTTCACCCACTACTCACCACCCCCGCCGAGCTGGATGCAGCCCAACCTGGGTGATGCCAGGCACCAAGCAGCGCAGCAGCGGAGGCAGCGGAGGGAACAGCGTCAGGATGGACAGTCGCAGCACCAGCTGTTGCCGCAGCAGCACAGCCAGGATATCCAGCAGACGGCCGGCGGAGGACAGTCAGCGGCAGAGGTGCAGGGGACAGGGGGGTCCCAGCCGCAGCAGCAATCTCAGCAGCAGGAGCAGCAGCAGGAGCAGGAGCACCAGCAGCAGCGCTATACCAGCTGGGATCACTTGCATGCCTGGCTTAGGTTGTGGGAATGTTCAGCGGGCAATCGGGCGAAGGTTCTGGGGTGGAGGCTGGCTCACGCAAGGCTGCCCTGTGGACTCTATCTGGCAGCTAAGCGGAGACAACGGCATGGCACCAATCGGCACCTTTGCCAGCAGCCATGCTGCTCGCAGCTCGCAGCACGGTACCGGCCACGGGACAGCCTAACTCACATTTTCCTGCAGCGCCCGCAGTACTTGGAAGCAAGGCAGTGGCTGGGGCAGACGTGGGTTGCCATCACGGAAGGGGAGTCCCCACCTGTCGACAATGCGGCCCTCATGTTTGGAGATCAGCCAAACTCCTGGCAAGGGCACCCAGCAGCCAACCGTAGCCCAGGACTGGTCAAGCTATGGAACACACTCCGGCTGACGTTCCTGCATGCCATCTGGTGTGCACACCAAGCGGCTGAGGAGGAGGCCAAAACGTCAGCAGCAGTGGTCAAACAGGTGGTGGATGACTTGCGGAGGCTCATGATGGCACAGTTCCGGGTGGCAGCACTGCTGGAGGTGTGGGTGCACCGGGAGATCCTATGCAAGGTGTACCGCCTTGAGGAAGGTGGAGCCAGGCTCCAGGTTCGGCTATCCAGAGAATATCCGGTCCCTGTACCAGGGGTAGCTGTACCAGAAGAGGAGTAGAGCCCCGGGGGGACGACCATGGCAAAGAACAGCAGAGGAGCAAGGAGCAGGGAGCAGGGAGCAGGGCGCAGGGAGCAGGGAGCAGGGAGCAGGGAGCAGGGCGCAGGGAGCAGGGAGCAGGGAGCAGGGAGTTTGGAGCAGGGCGCAGGGAGTAGGGAGTAGAGAGCAGGAAGGAGGTAGCAGTAAGTAGGGAACAGGGGGAAAGGGAGTAGGGAACAGAGCAGAGAGCCAGGAGCAGGAAGCAGGGAGCAGGGCGCAAGGAGCAGGGCGCAGGGAGCAGGGAGTTTGGAACAAGGAGCAGGGAGTAGGGAGTAGAGAGCAGGATGGAGGTATCAGTGAGTAGGGCTCAGGGAGCTGGGAGTAGGGAACAGGGGGTGATCTGGGGAACGGAGGAGAGAAGAGGAGGTAGTAGAGATCAGGGTGCTGGTAGTGTGGAGCAGAGAGCCATGAGGAGTAGGCATTGTTCGGTAGTTAGCAGTTCAGGGGTGGAAGCGGTTCCTCTTCTAGTTTTTTATGGGTCAGTAGAGGCAGAGCTGAGGGTTGCTCGGGTTCCCTGAACACGGGGGTACGAGGGGGTATCAGGGGTCCCTGAACTCGGGGGTACGCAGGGGTATCAGGGGTCCCGAAACTCGGGAATGTGTGGGGGTATCAGGGGCCCCAAAACTCGGGGGGTTGCATGTGTGTTTTTTTCCTGTTAACTGTTTTGTTTGTTGGTTTTTTCTGTTGGAGTGTTGTGTTTTGTTGTGGTTTTGTGGTCTCCTTTCGTTGTCGTTCCTGTGGAGGGAGGCTGTTTGGTTGTTTTTGGTTGTTTGCCCCTCGCCTGTCCAGGTGGTCTGAGTGAGGTTTTTGACCTCTGAGGCAGGTCACCCGTCCTTGTCCTTGTCCTGTCTGGTGTGTTGTCTGTTGCAGTTCCTTTCTCCTCTGTCAGGTGGGCTTGCAGGTGGTGTTTTCCAGGGGTGCTTCCCTGGTATCCAGTGGTTTTCTCCGCTGGTTTTCTTGGTGGTCTTCCTGTCCTTCCTCTGTAACAGTCCACATCGGAAAAAAAATGGGGGAGCTGTTTATGCAGTGCGGGGGCTGTCCATGCCGTGCGGGAGCTGATCGTGCAGTGCTGGGGCTGTTCATGCCGTGCGGGGTCTGTCCATGCCGTGCGGGGGCTGTCCACGCCGTTCGGGGGCTGTCCGTGCCGTGCAGGGGCAGTTCAGGGGTGGAAGCGGTTCCTCGTCTGGTTTTTATGGGTCAGTAGAGGCAGAGCTGAGGGTTGCTCGGGTTCCCTGAACACGGGGGTACGAGGGGGTATCAGGGGTCCCTGAACTCGGGGGTACGCAGGGGTATCAGGGGTCCCAAAACTCGGGAATGTGTGGGGGTATCAGGGGCCCCAAAACTCGGGGGGTTGCATGTGTGTTTTTTTCCTGTTAACTGTTTTGTTTGTTGGTTTTTTCTGCTGGAGTGTTAACAGGAAAAAAACACACATGCAACCCCCCGAGTTTTGGGGCCCCTGATACCCCCACACATTCCCGAGTTTTGGGACCCCTGATACCCCTGCGTACCCCCGAGTTCAGGGACCCCTGATACCCCCTCGTACCCCCGTGTTCAGGGAACCCGAGCAACCCTCAGCTCTGCCTCTACTGACCCATAAAAACCAGACGAGGAACCGCTTCCACCCCTGAACTGCCCCTGCACGGCACGGACAGCCCCCGAACGGCGTGGACAGCCCCCGCACGGCATGGACAGACCCCGCACGGCATGAACAGCCCCAGCACTGCACGATCAGCTCCCGCACGGCATGGACAGCCCCCGCACTGCATAAACAGCTCCCCCATTTTTTTTCCGATGTGGACTGTTACAGAGGAAGGACAGGAAGACCACCAAGAAAACCAGCGGAGAAAACCACTGGATACCAGGGAAGCACCCCTGGAAAACACCACCTGCAAGCCCACCTGACAGAGGAGAAAGGAACTGCAACAGACAACACACCAGACAGGACAAGGACAAGGACGGGTGACCTGCCTCAGAGGTCAAAAACCTCACTCAGACCACCTGGACAGGCGAGGGGCAAACAACCAAAAACAACCAAACAGCCTCCCTCCACAGGAACGACAACGAAAGGAGGTGTTTTGTTGTGGTTTTGTGGTTTTCCTTTCGTTGTCGTTCCTGTGGAGGGAGGCTGTTTGGTTGTTTTCAGTCTTCGGTGGTGGTGGTGTTGCCCCTCGCCTGTCCAGGTGGTCTGAGTGAGGTTTTTGACCTCTGAGGCAGGTCACCCGTCCTTGTCCTTGTCCTGTCTGGTGTGTTGTCTGTTGCAGTTCCTTTCTCCTCTTTCAGGTGGGCTTGCAGGTGGTGTTTTCCAGGGGTGCTTCCCTGGTCTCCAGTGGGTGTTTTTTCCGCTGGTTTTCTTGGTGGTCTTCCTGTCCTTCCTCTGTAACAGTCCACATCGAAAAAAAAGGCAGGTCACCCGTCCTTGTCCTTGTCCTGTCTGGTGTGTTGTCTGTTGCAGTTCCTTTCTCCTCTGTCAGCTGGGCTTGCAGGTGGTGTTTTCCAGGGGTGCTTCCCTGGTATCCAGTGGTTTTCTCCGCTGGTTTTTGGCCTGCCCTTGATTCTAGACGCTCCGCCAGGCCGCGGCTTGGAAGCAAGGGAACAGCCTTAGTGAACACCCCGGCAAATTTAACAGAAAGTAGTGTGAGCTTTTTGGCCTGCCCTTGATTCCAGGCGCTCCGCTAGGCCGCGGCTTGGAAGCAAGGTAACAGCCTTAGTGAAGAACCCGGCCGATTTCAGGAATTTTTTCTCCGAAACCACCGAAAGTCTAACCCGTTGCTTTCAAGGTGTGCCTTTTCAAACTATTCAATAACATAAAGTTATGAAACTAACAGAGAAATGGATAGGCTAATGGAATACAAAACAAGTCTCCTGTACTTTGGTAACCTGCCCAGAAGCAAACGTTTACGCATACTTGTAGTGCTGACTATGGACATGTCAATATGGCATTTTCACAGAGCAAGAAGCATTGAGTTAATGAGACCAATGTCGTACCTTGCCACCAGCGCACTAGAAGCCGTGTATGCTTTGATTAGTTCAAGACCTTCGTGCCTTAACAACTTGAAAGCCTTCTAGCCTTCCCTTGGTGTTTACCGGTAATCATAGCACCTTTACCTTTCAAGTACTTGTTTGCGCCGACACTTATGGCTTTAAGCATACCAAACAATGGGACGATTGAGTAGAAGTGCACAACAAATAGAGTCGTTGTGTACAGCCGCAGAGGCCATACTTGCGCGCGGCAGTAAACTCAGTGCTAAGGTCTTGTTGAACGAAGTTCGTGGTAACCCACATTGCACTGACTTGACTTATAGATCTGCCAATAACTTTCTACATCGCAACAAAGTTGGGCAGCAGTATATGCGCCCTTCTCCCAACGACAATAGTCTTCCACCAAAGAAGCGATTAAGATGGACTGCTGTTGACGAGGCGGCCTTTCAGGAAGCGGTTGTTACCATCCAGTCGACCAGCAATAAACTGACTGCTAGCAATATTGCAAAGGAGCTGTAAGGCAGTGCAGCTTCATACGACCAACTTCGTTACCGTCTTCGGAAATTGACAGCCGCTAAGCACAACATTGAAGAAACGCCTGATTTGGGTGTTGTTGGCAGCAGGAGTATAGATGAAGAGTTTGTTGATGGTAAGTTGAACCCACAACAACACATTCGTTAACGTTGTATCAACAGTTTTGTAGCGGTGACAGGAAGTAAACATATTAAACCATGTTCTTGTAGATGAGGGCGAAACTGACAACGAGGACGTGCCAGGAGATGTTGCCCATGACCATGTGCAATCTTCCATGCACTGTTGCATCGAAGCTGCAGAGGAAGCCTGCAAAACAGCCTTTGCCGAAACGTGCTCGTATGCGTGCTGCTGCTGCGACCGCAGACTGTTTAAGCATTCGGTTGTGGAGGTCACGGACAGCTTGTACAACACCCTCTGTGAGCCATGGGCAACAAATGTTGCAGGATGGGTTACGCGTGGTGGCTCGGGGCATATATGCCATACGTGCTTAGGCAGCATCCGTAGGAATCGCTGCCCACGGTTTTCAGTTGACAACGGGCTTGGATTCCCAGACATTCCTGACGAGCTTCAAGGCATCCCTGAGCTGTCAGAGAGGCTCATTGCCAGGCGTGTACCCTTCCTGCAGTTGCGAAGGCTTCCAGCTGGGCAACAGCATGGCCTACGAGGTAGGATTTGCTTCATGCCCCAGTGTACCTTTTCTGTCCCACAGACAAGCATATGCTTTGAACCCCCCCACTGCTACTTTGGACTGTGCGTCCACTCCAAGCAACCCCTCCTGCCAAAATGCTTATCCGCTGTTGCGCTGCAACTTCACACTGCTGCAACTTCACACTGCTCAACCCCTCCTGCCAAAATGCTTATCCGCTGTTGCGCTGCAACTTCACACTGCTCAACTGCCTGAATCCTGTGAACACAACCCCGCCGTTTTCATTAAACGGCCACTCATGTGGCCTTGGCTTCTTTAACGTCCGCACCTGTCTCCTTCACGTATGCCCAAACTTGCCAACTATGTCAGGGTCGGTCGTCAATGTCCCAGCAGACTTAACCCGCGTCCAGCAGATGCTACCACGCCACCTCGACGACAGTGAAACCGTTCTGGTCGGCCTGAAGCGCAAGCTGCAGTACAAGCGTTCTTATCTCAGCCAGGTCATCCGGCCCCAAGCTGTCCTCAGCGCATTGCGGTACCTTGCGCGAACTCCCCTCTACCATGACGCACACATGGCGAGCGAGGATGACTGGCTCGCTCAATTTGAGAGGGGGCAGTCAGGTAAATAGAGTATTTACATAAATAGGGTATTCAAATTTGCCAAATGCGATCATTTCTTTTATGATGAGTACCAAGCCAGTATCATACAAAACGGCCCTGTATGACAGCAACCCGTTGTGCTAAACCCTTATGCAGAGGTTGAAGAAACTGCTGCGGATGCAACACCAAGTGAGGTGCTGCAAGCCGCAGAGGCGCTGGAAGCCAGCATGGCAGCCGAGGAAGCCGCTCTCACAGCTACACAGCGGCAGTGGCTGCGGGCGAAGCTTGGACAGCTCTGTGCCGACGAGTTTGTTGAGTGGGGGCATGAGGCTTACTCTGGCACTCCATTCCGTGAGGTGTATGCCAGCCGACACGTGAGTTGTGACCTTCCCGCTGTCCTTGGGGAGAGTCACAACAATACGTTCGCCGAGCCTGGGTGTTGGCATGTGGATGACAACGGTGACCCCATTTACTTTAAAGGTAAGAAGGTGTAGTCATGTGCGTGGTAGCGGTTGCATAAATGGGCAACTCTCATCCCTTAAGGCACACAGGGGTCATGGGTCATGCTCAGGATAGCATAGTAGGCAGTATCACGGGCTGCACAGACAACAGCACTACCATATTGTTGGTAGCATACCAGCCTTCTACCATTTGCCACTCTCCATAGTTGCCGATGCTGCTGCTAACACAAGCGAACATACTGCTAACCTTATTTACAGCTGGGTCACAGCCCAACCGGCATGCGGGCGAGGAGGATGCGCACCAGCTAGAAACGGATACCATGCTGCAGCCCATCACCAACACCGCTACGGAAGCTCACAAGGTGCATGCAGTAGCGCCAGGGGAGGGCAGCGACCCGCTGGGCATCATCATGGATGAGCACGCTGAGGAAATGGCGTTTCCCACGATCTTCTGCGGGAATCCACGGCCCAGCAATGCGGCGCGGCAGGTGCCCCTGTCGTACAGCGACATTGTCAAGAGCGAGCTCATGCGCTGCGACTCTCGCTGTGCCGCCAACATCACCAACATCTTTTTCAAGGTCAAGAAGCTGCAGTGCCTGCAAGTCCGGAATGCCGCCAACATCCGTGTCCGAAAGGCCAAGCTGGGCAACCAGCCCATCACGGCCAGCCAGGTACGTCTTGTCCTATCTTTCTCGCGTTCCATGGGTACAGGTTCTAGATGTACAACAGGGATACACAATGTGGCTGACCCATGGTTCACCCAGACACACCCAAACCACCTAGCATTGTACATGCTCAGCATCACTTCCAATCAGGCCCAGCTCCTACAGACCTGGCTTTGCGTGGTTACCTTTAAAACTACCCCTCCTCAGGTGGCGAACGAGGAGGTCCTGCAGGGCCTTATCCGCTCCGATGCTGCGTACAGGGACTTTAAGCAGCTGCGAGAAAGCCCAGACTACTGGGACAAGGCCAAGAAGGACCTGTTCGCGATGCTGCGGCAGCTAGGCCAGCCCACCTTCTTCATGACTCTGTCCGCCGCAGACCTCCAATGGCCGGACCTGTTAAGATGCCTGTACCAGCAACAGCATGGGCAGCAACTCAGTGACGATGGCCTTGCTGCCCTAACAGCCACTCAGCGGATTTACTTGGTTCGGAACGACCCCGTGACAACCGCTCGGTACTTCAAACACCGTGTGGACGCCTTCAAACGCATCGCCTTGGCAGGGTGCCCTTCTGCCATTGGCGGCATGCAGGACTACTTTTGGCGCGTGGAATTCCAGCACCGAGGTATGAAACCAGGCAACATGTAAGGGTCCCTTCAAATAGCACCTTGTTAGCCGAGTTTACAGCCACATACGACTTCACAGCGTTTGCCAACCATTTACATCCTTCGTTGTACTGTCCCTCAACATGCTGCCTGCCAGTACCATGCACGTGTACCTAAACACACACATACACGCTTCTGGTAATAGGTTGTGTGACGAGTAGTACCCACCGCATCGTGTTCATACAGCCAGCCCCGTCACCACTAACGCAGTACTGGTATTCCCATGTCTCCACCCCCCCACCCACCAGATTCCCTGTTCGTTGTAATTAACATTATCTTTTTGATTGTATGGCCAACCCCCGGCTTAGGGTCACCCCACGAGCACGGTCTGGTGTGGACCATGGATGCTCCGCCAGTCTACGATGGCACCAATGAGGCGGAGATTGTGCGCTACATCGACACCTACATTACATGTAGCGCCACTGCGGTTGAGGCGGAGCTGGTGAAGCTGCAGACCCATGACCACCGGGCCACCTGCTTCAAGTACGACCCGCAGGAGTGTCGGTTTGAGTTTCCGCGTGCGCCAATGGATGTCACACGCATCCTGCATCCCTACACAGACGGTGAGACGCATGATGCCTACTAAATGCAGACCGTCAGCTGTCCTAGTCACCCTTCTGCTTGTAAGTGGGGCAAGACATGGATGCTTGCCTAGCACCTCAGTTGAGACCGTGCCTTTGTACCAAAGGGTATGGTTTGCCCCCATAGACAGGTTCCTTGCAGTTACATTGGTTGCGATGACTTACAGTATTCCTGGTAAGCATGCTAACATATTCACGCCCTGTGCTTCACGCCAACAATTCAGATGAAAAGGCTGCTGCTGGGTTCCAAGAGCTAGCTGAACGGTGGGCCAGGGTAAAGCAGCTGCTGGCCGACATTGACACAGAAAAGGTGCCGCCTCCAACAACTGTCCAACAGCTGCTTTCCCTTGCTGGCCTGTCGCTGGATGAGTACATGGCTGCAGTACGCGTCCCTCTCAAGCGCATGACGGTCTTCCTGCGGCGAACACCGCTGGAGATGAGGATCAACCCCTACAACCCCACCCTCCTTCGCATCTGGAGAGCAAACATGGACATGCAGGTGCGACACCAGGTCATGAATGCCACACTGTGCTTAACCACATAGTAATACTACCTTCCCTTACACCCAGTGCTGAACTTGTGGCCGTTTAGTAATGGCTAACAAGTAATGGCTAACAAGCAGGAGGGGTGCGGAAGAAAAGTTCTGAACCTCATATATGCCCCTCCCAATCCCGTGACACCCCAAGGGTAATATAACTCATCGAAATCTGCCGTTTTAGCTATTTTTGAGCTCGAAATGGGGTCCCTGGGGGGAGGGTCCCCGGGGGGGGGGGGTCTGGGCCCTGTGAAGAAATATGCCAACTTTTTTCCTGAGACGAGTTGAACATCCAAATAAGTTGGAAAGACCTAACGTAAACAGTCCCTGAACCAAAATGCTGTGCATTGCCGCAGTTCTGCTTGGATCCGTACGGTGCCGCCATGTACATCGTGTCGTACATGCTGAAGGCCAACCGTGGCCTCAGCCGTGCCATGGAGCGGGCGGCTGATCAGGCCCGGCGTGAAGACGAGAACTTCAAGGCCAGGATCCGCAAAGTTGGCAACGCTTTTGTCAACACCCAGGAGATGAGCGCACAAGAAGCAGTATACCTGGCACTTGGGATGCCCCTCCGATCGGCATCCCGCCAATCCGTGTTCGTGCCGTCGACAAGGCCAGAGGACCGGACCCAGCTTCTGCGGCCTCCCAAGGACCTGCAGGTCCTGGCGGAGGCTGACCCGGATAGCGCCGACATCTTTGTGCCAGGCCTTGTGCATGCCTACCAGAGGCGGCCGCTCAGCCTGGAGCAGGTGTGCATAGCAGACTATGCGACTTGGTACAGCAAACCCTCACGCCCCAAGGAAGCAGCGGGAGACAATGTGGACACGGCAGATGTGGATGGTGCTCCCCGCCTGAAGGCTGATGAGGAGGACGATGACAATGGCGCCCCACTACCTCCTGACCTTGCCCCGCCGCCCCCTGAACATGGCCCACTGCCCACTGCCAACCTACCGTCGGCTGTGCAGGGCTTGCGTCTCCGTAGAACCCAGATGATCCTACGGTACCGGCACTTCTCACCCAATGGTCCTGATCCTGAGGACTACTACCGTGAACAGCTGTTCCTGTTTTGGCCCTGGCGAGATGAGGAGCATGATCTTGTGGCTGGCTGCCAGACCTATGAGGAGCACTACCACCAGGTGCAGGTGCATGTGGAGGCCAAGCGCAGCGAGTACCACCGTGACGCTGTCAACTGGTCCGCAGTTTTGAGGGCAACCGAGGCCCAGCTAGTGGCAGATGCTGAGCAGCGGTGGGCCCAGCAGCACCTTGGCTGCGGTGGCGAGGCAGAGTCTGATGGTGATGCAGAGGAGGTGGTAGGTGATGGCCTGCCTGTTGCAGCAGACATTGGCGCAGATCTGGGCCTACCACCAACCGCATACAATGTGCAGCTGGTTGCTGAGGCTGTTCCAGACGAGCAGTTCTATGCGTCCTTGCGGGAGCTCAACACGGAGCAGCGAGCCTTCTTTGATCACGCAATGTTCCATATGACGTTCCACCGGGGGCAGCAGCTCATCAACTTCCTCTCTGGTGGCGC